AAATTTAGAGGAGAACCCATCCCGTTATATTCTCATAATACAAGATTTTAAACAAGATAAAATTAGATAATGTTTGATCTATTTAATTATTTGTATATTATCACAAAAAATTACAAAAAGGAATTGAGTTTTTGAAACATTTATATTAATAACTCTCATCAGAAAAAAATTTAACCCTGAAAATTTTGATGTTTGTGTTCTAAAAAGGGGGTTATTTGTTTGAAAAAAAATTAAAAATAATCCGCCTAACTTTGAGTTTGTACCGGAGAAAAATTTTTAAATTAAACCTCAGGTAAAATCATTTCAAACTATTGTTACTCATGCTTAAGGGAGTGTTCACAAAAAATGAAAGGGGGTATAGGGATACGTCGAAAAATATTCGATGGTGATTGCTACTTATCTTACTTCTATATGGTGCGTCTATGACAAGAAAGTAGTTAAAAACGACTCATACCGAAGAACGTAGCGTCCATAAAAATTCAAAAAGTTGCAATATTCGAATTGTTGTTTTTATAGGTTTAAAAGTATTTGATTCAGATATTTCCCATAAATCACTTTTGTAGAGAAGCCACGATTGAAAACAATCCGTTTTCAAAATTATAAACAGTAAGATCTCATTCATACTTGATCAGATAAAGCTTTGAAGGGAACGGTTAGAAATCTTTCATCTTTCATATTTTTGATTCAACTACAAAGCACGAGATAATACAAATAAAAAAATCACAATTTACTATGTAGTTTGGACCCGCCTAACCAGAGTAGGTTGTTTTAATTGGTTGGCCCACTATAAACAATTGAGAATTACAAATAAAAACACTGTACATTTTATATTTTAAACATAAGAATGATGATAAATCAGGAAAAAGGTAAGGAGGAGGTGAGGTAGTATAAGGGTTGGAACTCCTTGATCTCTTTTATTTTTTTTTAAATTATTCATTTTTTTTACTTGCCTTCATATTTCATTCTTTCCTCCTTTTCTTCTCATTTTCTTTTTTGACAAAAAAGTTCTCATCTCAAGTTCTCTTCCCCCTCCCCCTCTTTCCCCCTTTCCCTTAAAGCTGTATATGCAAGCATAAATGTTGAATATATGCAATATATAAGTACTTGATTAATCCGTAGAGGAAGACACTGTTAAGTATTATTTACAACCGAGCTTTGACATTTCGTCTTTTTATGCAGAGGCTACAACGTAAGACGAAATTTTAGGTTGAAACTGGGATCAGAAACTCAGTTTTAGGAGAATATCATACATTTTTGTACATTTTGTTTTTTTCAGCTTCTTTTAGAAATATATACTATATATATTAAAACCCCTTCCCTCCAAAAAAGAAAAGAAAAAAAGAAGAAGAAGAAGAAGAAGAAGAAGAAGAAGAAGAAGAAGAAGAAGGAGAAGAAGAAGAAGAAGAAAAAGAAGAAGAAGAAAAAGAAGAAGAAGAAGAAGAAGGAGAAGAAGAAGAAGAAATAAAGGAAGAGGAGTACACACCCACTGCAGGAAGTACTAAAGGAAGAGGAGTACACACCTACTCCAGGAAGTACTAAAGAAATAGGAGTACACACCTACTTCAATAAGTACTCCTCGTATTTTAGTACTTCCTGGAGAAGAGTACACACCTACTCCATGAAGTACTAAAGGAAGAGGAATACACACCTACTCCAGGAAGTACTAAAGGAAGTAGAGTACACACGCACTGCAGGAAGTACAAAAGGAAGATGAGTACAAACCTACTCCAGGAACTACTAAAGTAAGAGGAGTACACACCTACTCTAGGAAGTATGAAAGGAAGAGGAGTACACACTTACTCCAGGAAGTACTAAAGGAAGAGGAGTACACACCTACTCCAGGAAGTACTAAAGGAAGAGGAGTACACACCTACTCCAGGAAGAGTTAAAGGAAGAGGAGTACACACCTACTCCAGGAAATACTAAAGGAAGAGGAGTACACACCTACTCCATGAATTACTTAATGAAGATGAGTACACACCTACCCCAGGAAGTACTAAAAGACGAGGAGTACACAGTACACACCTACTCTAAGAACTCTGCAATATACTTTTTTCTAAATCTAAATTTGTTGGTTTATTTCTTAAATAATTATTCTAATAATTCTTAAAGTTAGAAGAAGATGGTTAAAATAATAAGGTTTGAATAATGAATTTAAGCGGTTATGTTTGTGGTATTTTCTTACAATGTAAACCAGTACTGTACGTTATAGGATCCATTTAAGCTCAGCATGGAATATTTGATTTTAATTCATAGTGCATGGTGGTTTAGGGGGGGGGGGGGTTGCAATGTTCTAATCTTAAAGGAATTGAGTCTTTGCCACAAACTCAATTTTTCTAATCCCCATATCTTTGAAAATTTCAAACTAAGATTATTAAATCTAACAGAGTTCACTGTTTTAATTATCAGTTCTACGACTTTGGATTGCAAAAATATAGGGATCAGAAAATCAGAGTTTGTGGAAAAAGACACAATTTATTTACATTTCTCTATTAGCAGCTCTAGTTTTTATTCAGGAACGTTCTCTTCAACTGTAATGAGAAGAGTTTATGTTTTACAGCATATTACAAGTCAAACTAACCATATAGACACTGTACTAACCAATCATTTGTTTAAATTGGAACCATTATTCATACACTACACTACACTACACTACACTACACTACACTACACTACACTACACTACACTACACTACACTACACTACACTACACTACACTACACTACAATACTAGACGTGCATATAAAGATAAAAGCTGTTTGCACGTAATTAACAAGAAGCCCTGTACTTGGATGAAAAATCACGCAAGATGGAGGCATGGGGTGAGATACCGAAAAGATTGCGTGAGTGTAATATAGAATACTCTGCACATCATATTTCAAATATTGCTCTGTCATCCCGTGAGTCTACTTTATATTCACGTCTTTCTCCCTAATCCCCCTAAATTCAGTTATGTACAGTCTACACCCTAATAATTACTCAATTCCTTATTAATTTTCAAAAACTTCCTAAATAAAAATAAAACCCATTCATGTTCTAAATCATGCACAAATCTTTTAAACAACTAGTCAATCTGAGCTGGGATTGTGGATATCGAGATCAATCACGATCTTTTGCCAATCCGTAGATTAATCTAATCTGTATTCGATACACCACATATTAAACGGGCACTGGAGGAATATTTCAAATGAAGAGATTAAGCATTGATCCTCAGATTAAAAGTGCCCACATGTGGATATTGAAATCAAAAGTTCTCAACTCTTATTAATTTTATTCCCCTTTGAATCCCTAGGTAAACTACACTGCAGGATAAAGTTAAATCAAATTTTTAAAAATTTGTTCTAAAATTAAAAGCTTCCACATTGGATATCGAGATCATGCAAGGGTTCAAGATTCAGAATACCCCACACAAAAGTTCTCCCCTTTTATTTCTCCAAAATTTGTAAATTCTCTTGATTTCTATTGGAATATTTTGAAACAAAGATTTTTTCAAGCAAGTTAATTTCCGTCAGTATTGTTTCGAATCACGACTGAAACAGAAGAATGGGAATGAAAAAGTGTATTACAAGTATTATTGTCTCTATTAAACCATTTAAAAAGTTTAATTAATTTAATTCATCTATACACGGAAGAAATAGTTGTATTAAGATTTGAATGCGAGTAATTAATTTAATGATAGATTAGTGTAATCATCCATCAGTTGGGTGGCGGGAGGAAAAACTTAATAGAGTATTTTCTGTTCCAGGAGGCATCTATATATATACTTTGCTTGTCTGGATGTCTGTCTGCCTTTCTATCTTCTTTTGAATCCAAAAAACGTCAAACTGATCGGGCCCAAATTTTGTGTGGGACCTCACATAACCTCAAGGAAGATGTATGGATCCTCAAAATTACAAAAAATTGTGTCCAAAAGTTTATGATTTTTGTAAAATTTTGAAAATGCGAGAAAAAAATTATTAAATCCGAACTTTTTTTTGTTATTGGTTTATATTGTACAAAGATGCCAACAGATTAATCCACAATTAAATTTTCAAATAGAAGATGGGCGGGAAGCGCCATAAAAGCCTAGCCCATTATACTAAGATCCATGGGGTCCTAAAGATACGAGAGTACCTTCTGGAGTATAACAGAGCCCAAAACTTAATTACAAAGTATCACAATGAAACCCAGTATCGGAAACCCGGTTTCATGAATGAAGCAATAAGACCCAAAAAGAAAACTCAGGAGTTTCGTTTAACAATATCTCTTTGAAATTTCCGGCTCTGGGTACCTGGAGTCTACCAGGGTACCTGGAGTATATCAGCATACCTAGAGTATACCTGAGCACCTGGAGTATACCAGGGTACCTAGATTATTCCATGGTACCTCAAGTATAACAGGATACGTGGAGTATACCAGAATACCAGGAGTATATCAGGATACCTGGAGTATACCAGAATACCTGGAGTATACCAGGGTACCTAGATTATTCCATGGTACCTCAAGTTTACCAGGATACCTGGAGTATACCAAGATACCTGGAGTATACCAGGATACCTGGAGTTTACCAGGGTACCCGGAGTATGGCGGGATACCTAGAGTATACCAGAACAACTGGAGTAAACGTGCAAATATATATCTTGGTAAAGGATACCGCGGATATTCAGATTTAATATACCAGGATACCTGGAGTTTACCAGGGTACCCGGAGTATGGCGGGATACCTGGAGTATACCAGAGTACCTGGAGTAAACGTGCAATTATATATCTTGGTAAAGCATACCGCGGATATTCAGATTTAATATACCAGGATACCTGGAGTTTACCAGGGTACCCGGAGTATGGCGGGATACCTGGAGTATACCAGAGTACCTGGAGTAAACGTGCAAATATATATCTTGGTAAAGCATACCGCGGATATTCAGATTTAATCTACATATTGATAAATTGAAGTTTATTGGATAATCTTCAGGGTTAACTACCTCATCTTGGGGTTAGTTAGATAGACATACTATATTCATTTAGTTCATCTTCTTTACCATCTTCCTTCCCATCTTCCTTCTCATCTTCCTACCCATCTTCCTACCCATCTTCCTACCCATCTTCCTTCTCATCATCCTTATCATCTTCCTTATCATCTTCTTTCCCATCTTTCTACCCATCTTCCTTCTCATCTTCCTTCTCATCTTCCTTCTCATCTTCCTTCCCATCTTCCTTCTCATCTTTCTCTTCGTCTTTCTTCCAATATTCCTCTCATGTTCCTTCCCACCTTCCTTCTCATCTTCCTTCCCATCTTCCTTCTCATCTTCCTTCCCATCTTCCTTCTGATCTTCCTTCCCATCTTCCTTCTCATCTTCCTTCTCATCTTCCTTCTCATCTTCCTTCTCATCTTCCTTCTGATCTTCCTTCCCATCTTCCTTCTCATCTTTCTTCTCATCTTCCTTCTCATCTTCCTTCCCATCTTTCTTCCTCTTCATCTTCTTTAACATCTTCTTTATTTGCCAGTACATGTTCATAAAAGTCATCTTCCATAACATCCTTTTATCTTCCAGTACATTTTCTGCTACATTCGAATTCATTTTCCTTTGCATTTTTTCATTATCATTTTTCTTAAAAAACTCGAGGATGACACTTTTGCATGGGAGAGCACTTTCAGAGACTGGAACTTTTTAATTTAAGGGGTTAACACCTTTAATAGGAGATATTTGTCCGTCCTTGGACCTCTGAAAGAAATGAAGAGGTATTTTAACGCCTAAGGAAGCATCTGAAATATATTTTAAATATTGAAAATCTGAAGTTTATATATCTATATGCTGTATATCAAGTTTATTACATAAAAATGATATATTTATGGTAAATGATAAAGGTTAACTGCACAAACCAGAAACTATAAAATATTTTGAAAAATCCAATATAATCCAATAACAGTATGAGGTTCAAACCATTAAACCAAGTATTTCCAGAATTTATGCCAAAATTTTACGACTTGAATTTAGCCCAATTAAGTTCAAACTATTCTACTAAATCGCTCAACAACCCCGTTGATCAAAGGAGTTATATAGACGATTCACAATGGTACTCTTCAAACCTTCGTCATAGGAAAAATAAGAGCCTTGTTTTTCTATCGGAAAAATAATAATTTACAAAAGTGGTTTATTCATGAAAACGCCATTATGTGCGCTTATTTGTACTTGTATTTAGGAAAATCAAAATATTAAAAAAACGACCATATCTGCGTCATCCTTGATCACAGAAAGAATGAGAAGTACTGTTGTCCATCGGACATGCCACTCTATAATAGGAGGGTGCCTTGAAATTATGTACAGTCTCTTTCATTCAGATTTTTCTCTAATTAAGATTTTTCCCTTTCCCAGTTAATATTACTCTTCTCTCAAAAACATAATTTCCAGAGCTGTGTTTTCTTTTTGATAAAATAGTTTTTATACCATACTATTATACATAATATTTTTACCTCTAAATAAAAGGTTAATTTTATCACGATGAACCTTTTCTTAATTTCTTGTACTTTGAAATCCTTTTTTCAAACTTTTCGAAAATTCTTTTTTTAGAAAACGAGAAGAATTACGATTGTAAAGAAATATTATCAAACAGTGATAACAATGATGATATATAATAAAGTATTATCAAACAGTGATAACAATGATGATATATAATAAAATAATCTTGTTAAATTGCTGGTTTACCGGTTTATGTGTAGTACTCCCATAGAGTATAGAAGAATATCATAGAGTAATTTATTTACTTTAATTCAAATTAAGATTTTAAGAAACGCTATATGGAAATGTAATATACATGGGCTTATTTTCTAATAATATACATGGGCTTATTTTCTAATAATATACATGGGCTTATTTTCTAATAATATACATGGGCTTATTTTCTAATAATATATATGGCTTATTTTCTAATAATATATATTGGCTTATTTTCTAATAATATACTTGGCTTATTTTCTAATAATATACATGGGCTTATTTTCTAACAATATACATGGGCTTATTTTCTAATAATATACATGGGCTTATTTTTTAACAATATACATGGGCTTATTTTCTAATAATATACATGGCTTATTTTCTAATAATATGCATGGGCTTATTTTTCTAATAATATATGTAAACGGTAGATCAATTTTTAACATCTTCTCTAGTTAGTATATTACTCTAAGGTCTAAGTTTAAAATCTTGAATTGGTTGTATCAATTCTTAACATCTTTACACACAAAGATGATACAACACAATTCTATCTTCCTCGTCTATCCATCTATCCATCCATCTGTCCATCTATCCATCTATCTATCTATCCATCTATCCATCTATCCATCTATTCATCTATCCATCTATCCTTTGTTTATGTTGATAGTTTGCAGACAAGAAAACTTGTTTACAATTTGTCACAAGATAGAATTAACAATAGTGTACACTCGAAGATAGCTTTGTTAAAACAAAATATAATTTAAAAAGATTCACTTCCCTTTTTCAATTACTTTAACGCATCTTAAAGGGACTGAAAGCGAAATTTCAAGTGACCGTTCATGCAAAAAATGACAATGTCCGATTAACAACATTTTTAAAATCTTTGTCCGATCAAGTATGATGAATTAGAAATCTTTTTTTTGTTTCTTAAAATTGTTTATTTTCATTTATTATTTTTTTCCGCGAAAGTGGCTTGTGGATTTCTTGCTTGTAAGAAGAAATGGAGAAATTATCAGAAAAACAACGGTATCTACCACATTTTTGACCAGATTAAGGTTTCAAGGGTACCGTTGTTAATCGTATTTTGGTATACAAATCTAGGTAAAGTGGATTGACTATTTTAGCCAAAGTTTAGTTCCCAGGCACACTGGCAGCCGTAGTACATTTAAATTTCCAGGCCGGGTCAACCTTTTCGGTCCCAGTTGTACTGTATCACCCGGACATTGGGTAAATAGGGCAGACACTCAATAGGACTAGCCGGTGCAACAAGGTTGAAGCGTTCAGACTTTAAGTTGAATTTACTTTTACTAAAGGGTCAGAGGTGCGTGGGCAAAGCTGAGTTCCTTATAAGATGGTAAAAACTATTTTTAAAATGTTGGTTTTAGTGTGTTTTATACAATAATAGATTTAACTTATTCTGCCACAATATTTGATAAAGCTTACAAATATAGTGGATTAAATTATTGGCGGCAATTTTGAGAAACATCTAAAATTTGATAAAAGTGTTAATTCTTTCACGCTAAGATAAACTACATTATTATGTACTAGCTTTTCCTATAGAAGTCAACCCACTTATCTTAGAATTTTTAAACCAAATTAAGAACATTCTCGTGGTTGCTCCGAGTTCTCCGAATTTTTAAACCAAACTAAGAACATTCCCGTGGTTCTACCGAATTCTCCAATCCAAATTTGAGGCTGCAGATCGGTCAACGGGTTCGGACATACAAACAAACAGAGATGACGTACTAGTATATCATACATATATATTAAAATAAAAATAATTCTGGGTCAAATTTTGCATTTCAATCATCGTTGCCGGCCATTAAGTATGGAGTGTTTTATACTTAGTAGTTGGTATTATGTATATTGTATACGTATTTTTATATTTCAAGTAGGAATCTGTGTTTGTTTGGGTGTCTGTCTGTTTGTTTCTATAACTCACGATTTGCCTAAAATTTTGATTGGGGTAATTTGATATAATTACAGAAATGGTCTCAGCTTGGTTAAACAAAGTGTATTGACTTTTGCAGGGAAACCCGCGGCAAAGCTGGGTTACAAAGCTAACATATAGAATGTAGTAGTTAGTATTTTTATTATTTCTATCTATGTTTAATACTGGGTTATCTACGAAATATGAGACTTTAAGAAAGATCTAAAATTCTTTGAATATGACAATCTAAATATTAAATATAGACGTCTGTACTTAACGGGTTATACAAGAGCCAAGAGAAACTGTAAATGTAAGGAATAAAGGCTTCATAAATAGCCTTACATAGCCTCATCCTTTGTAGGCAGTCCTGTATATATTCTATATACACATATATATATATATATATATATATATATATATATATATATATATATATATATAGGATGGGTAGGGATGACACCTGTATGTGCTGGGTTCAAGGTTAAAATATAACATATATTGTATATAAACTAATCTACTTGTTATATCAGTATACACACACACAACCTGCCTGTATATTAAACTGTTCCTAGATACATAACCAACGCCTAAAGGGACAACCCACCATTTTGGAAACGAGACACTTTTTAACAATTAAAGCTAATGACATGTTTTTGTGTTGCACTTGTACAGTGAAAAAACATGGGAACGAAACTGAAGGTGTAAAAGAATGTATTGCAAGGCTATGGTAGAAGAACAGCAAAAGTTAAATATCATTTGTTTAAGTTAAATTCAGTTTGAAAAAATCGGGGTTTTTATAAAAATTATCATGCAATATTTTGTGATTTATTTCCCTTGCTCTTTTGATTAATTCTTAACTTTTAACCTGGAGCACTTTCCTACATCATGTTTTAGATTAACATTTATTACTTATTAAAACATAATTTTTACAGGATTAAAACCATATTTGCAAACCTTTTAATAGGAGATTAAAAATGAAAACTAACGTTTTTAGATTAAATAAACTTACTTTGTTTTCAAATTGTACAGAATGTCTCTAAAAAAAGTAGTTGAAGTCAGAGCCTATGCGATGCTCATTTGTTTTGGACATTTGTCCATAACAAATTTCCGATTTAATGGGACAAACATAAAAACTTGTATCATGTTCATCGCAAACTATCTAAATATATAAAGTTGTGATCTCTGTTTGTCTGTCTGTCTATTTGTCCGATCATAACTCAGGAACTGATTTTCCTCAAATTGGAGAACTCGACTTTAATAGCAAAAAAATTTTTCCCCGGTAAAATCGTTCAAGTGCGGGTAAACGGTGGGAGTAACTTTTAGTAACCTTGATAGCGCTGGGTTCCCAATCTAGTACACTTATAAAGTTTGGAAAGTCCTCGGAAAACTATACTTTTTTAGATCATTGATGCCAAAGTCATAGTTTTCAAAACTTTAATGGCAAAAAAAGGAACTGAGTATTTGCCACAAATTCTGATTTAAAAATTCATTTTTTTAAAATTGGCATTAATATTAAAGAAAACTAATCAGATATTCTTACAAAAAGAGTTTTAAAGGAGTTGAGTCTTTGCCACAAACTCTGATATTCTTATCTCTATATCTTTGCAACCCAATGTCGTAAACCTTACATATTTCCAGATATATCAAACTATGAATTCTATTTGATCAAATAATTTAAGATGGAAAGATCAAAGGTTTATATCAATCAGGAATAAAAAGATATCGAGGTCATAACTCTTTAGGAGATATTCTTAATGTCAAAAAAACTGAAATCAGCGGAGAACCGAGGATCTGGCATCAAATGGGAAAAAAACAAAAATTCCAACGCAATGCTGCAAACATAACAGAGGGTTGTTTTTATTCCATTAGTTAGGATTCT